ACACGAGGACACACGATGGAAACAACGTCCTGCTTCACAGCTGCAAGGCGCCGACGGGACGCGCCGAGGGATCCGGGCTGCTGGCCGGGAGCTTCCCCGCGCAAGAGCGGCGACCGTCCCATGCGCACAGGAGCCTGGGCACAGGCGCTTGCTCAGCTCCGCTCATTCATTACCGGCCTCCACTCTGCCTGAACATCCGAACCCTAACCCTCTCTTTACTAGCTCCAGCAAAGCCTGCAGATTGCAAAATGCTCGTTCTTCTCTGAACAAGCCAATTAATGCTAACGCTGCTGCAGAGAAGCCGAGGGTGCTCACCCAGTCCTGAGCCCTTACTGGCACCAGTGTGACCTGGGCTTCCTCATAGCCAAGGGAGGGGGAAGGAGCCTTGCACCATGTCAGAGGCTGGATGGGCCAAGAGACCGAAATCAGTTTGAGGCATTCCCCAGCAGCTTCAGAACAGTGTTGCTAATTAATTTAATTATAAGGCATTGAATACTTTCCCAAACAGAGATGCTGAGAGGATGCAAGTTAATTTTAAAATAATAAAAACAATCTATAGCTTAATCTGCTCATTTTATTGTCTTGAGTGTTGATGAGGAGCTCAATTAGAATTGTTTCTTGTTGCAAGAAGCTAGGTTAGTAAGCGTACTGCCATTACGTGCTTTTTCTTTTCTTTCTTGAAGGAGAGGCCATGAAAGGAAATATCTCGTTCCTGCCGAGTTAGAGCACGGTCCCATCCACAGAACCATACTGTCTAAAAAACCAGCTTTCTGAAACACCACATCTGAGTCCCTCACCGCAGTAAGTCAGAAAAGTAATTAAACACCGAATTTCTTTTGGAAACAGCTAGAGACACTCAAAGAAATAACACCTTCAGCTCTGACTGTGACAGAGAAAGTAGTATGGGAGCCTAATTCAGTGGGGAAACACCACAGAAACGACTGAAGTCTCCGTTTTACCTGGAGCACCCTAGCAGAGCGAGCACCATGCGACTACACGAGCGAAGGGCCCGGGAAGCCGCGGGGCTGC